TAATAATAAGTTATCAAATTAGTCTCTGTTGTTATAAATAAGCTTTTATTAAAAAATGAAATATCATTTTTAAGGTGTTACTTTTTATCACACTGTCTAATGCCCATACAAAATTCAGTTTTTTAGTATTTGGAGCAATTATTATTAATCAATGCAAACAGTCAGTTAATGTAGTTTGAATACTGGATCATATTAATTGGTCCTCTTTAACAAATATTTGAACAGTTTTTTTTTATTTTTTAATGAAATAAACGAATTATATCGACAATATTAGTATCTGTACTCTTTAAAAATTTGATACATCTTTAAAAATAATCTAAAATGTCAATAGTCCATGGATATATTGATAAATAAGTTCTAAATTACAAGAAAATAAATTTTCTACGGAAACTTAAAGAGATAGGTAAAAAATGGTATAATATAATTTGATAGACAATTAAATTGTGCATCTGATTCTCGTAAAATATACAGGATGTTCTATTTAAATTAAACAAGTTATTGCCGTTTGAAGCTAATAATTATTTAAAATAAATTTTTAGACACTCTGTATAAGGTGGTATTATTTTTATTATTGCAACACAATAATTGATCAGTAAATAAACTTCAGTAAATATTTAGTATTAAAAACTTTGATACCCTTGGAGAAATGAAGCTTTAAAATTTTTCCTGCAATTTCACAAAATTGAAAATATTTCAAAAACGGTAAGGTGTAAGTATAATAAACCTTTATCAAATTTACCTTTATTTTAATCGTAGAAACTAAAAATGTAATAATATACAGGGTGTTCCATTTAAAAAAATACAACTTTGATATTTTTTACTTATTTGGGACACTCTGTATCTTGTAAAATTATTTTTAAATTGTACCTCTAATAGTCCTTCATCGAACCCAAAACTTACAATTTGTAAAAATCTCATCGTTTAGCTACAATACTCCGTGTCGTATGTGGTGAACAACCCTGTATAATAATAGCTCCCGTATATATACTATACAGTACCGTTGCTATACTAGAGCCGTTCGGTATACAAGGAAGGTAATGTGGTTAGCACTACGCTTCAACCGCCTATTATTACCTCAGGATTGTGAATCCCAAATTTAAGGCTGAGTCGACCTAGGTACCCAAACTATTTTTATTTTAATAAAAATAGTCGGCTGATAAAATGCCGGGTGTAGGATTCGAACCCACTACCTTGAGATTGGTAGACGAGAGCCTCTACCTCTACGCCACCGGGCACCACACACATCAATTATAAAAACATTAAAAAAAAGATAGAACGTCTCCACACATAAATCTTTTTAAAAAAATATATATTTTTTCTCGAGTTTTAAACTATACCATTTAAAAATCATTTTTATTCGCCTCCTTAAGGCCAATAGGCAGTAAACGTAGCATTAAAAAATAAAGAAGAGTACGGGATAAGTAAATGACTTATAGTCGTCTTTGACGCCGTTTTTTTTCGATCCTATGGTATTGTAAGAAAATGACAGTGATTTTTAATATATCATCTTTTATTTCTCTTTAACATTTTAGACTTTTCCTTAAGGTTAAGCTTGATTATACTTCTATATATCCACCTATTCATCTATATTCCCCGATATAATTAAAACATTTTTTGCTCTAAAGGTGGCTTAAAGTCCTCCTGAATAGACCAACAAAAAACGATACTGATTGTCGTTCTTTTTCGTTGTCCGAAGTCGTTAGCTCGAAAAGAATTCTGTTTCTTTCAGAACGATATAAGCAGCTCAGTATAAGTATTTTGGACATTTCAGCTTACAAGACCATTCGCGGTAAGAGGTGTAATGACCAAGAGAGAGCTAATAATAATTATTTTTAACTTTATTTTTTACAAGACTTTTGTTTATTTCTTAACATATGGTGTTTCAATTCTTTCGTAAAACAATATATGTTTTCAAAATCCTCCTGAATTGTTTTAACTTTACAGTAATTCTATTTTATCATAATCTGATATCATACCCTGATTCACCATTCTTGTACTAAAGTACAAAAATATATATATTTCAAATGCTCTTTATTTTGTTAAAAACTTAGTAAGCTTTATTAGACACCTAATTATTTAGTAATACTGTGCTACTTTGAGATACATTTATTTATTTTTTTTATTGTGAAAACCATATTATCGGGAACAGGTATACGAAAAAAAGGCAGATTTAAACATGAAACATATTTATTTACGTATCATTTTCCATTTTATATACATGCTATCCTTTCTTCTTTTGGTGACACATAATTGGCAACAATACATTTAGAAATCAACTAAATATATAGTAACAAATTTAAGAAATAGATTTATTTAATAGAATCTTTTTGGAAATGTACAAAGGGTATAACTAAAGAATATTAAAAAATATTATTTTTGTAACGAATAATATCAAACAGGATAAGAACGTTTGCAATAGCATTATAAACATAGAAATTTAAAAAATCAGGCAAAACAAATCAACTAAAACAAATAAAAGACACGTCTATATAACATTTTCATTATCAATGTCTAATAGTTAATAAAATAAGAATATAAGGGTTACCAAATTTTAAAAAAAATATAAAAATTGTATAAAACTAAATGTGATTTTATTAAGAGTTCTTTTTATATCTCTGAATTATAACAAAATAAGCTAAAAAAATAGCACCAACTAAATGACTGTGTAAATAAAATCAAATTTTGTACAAAATGGCCTGTGCAAACAAGTTTGCACAAATGACTTGAGAGTCTGAACACCCCTTAGGCGTATGAATTGTATTATTTTAGTAAAAAAAAAATAAAAAAAAAACAATAAACAGCCCTATTTGATTAATTTCTCTGCTCGACGATAGGTACCAAAAAAACGTGTCTTATATTTCTTAGTTTGAATTACGAATAACAGTTTTTTCCATATATCATATCTAGGGTTTAAGCATTTTGAATCACCCATTAACAATTAGAACAGCTCATATAGTTTTATGAAAAATTCACATGGAAATGTTTAAAAAGGGGCTGGAGTAAAAATCTATCTAGCTCACAAGCCTTTGTTTAGGTTTCTCTATCATTCTATCTATCACACGTAGACTCAAGTCCTTTTATTTATTAATCTGGGTGTGCTATGATGACAGAATTTTCACATCAAGAATATTATAACTCATATAATACATAATAGTAAAATATTTTTATTTTATTTTTTATTTCTATGGTATTACTTAAAACTGTACAGAGTGGCGCCTCTCATACGCCACGGAGGCTCCAAGGAAAACGACAGTTCATATTGAAATGAAATTTTGTGAGCCTATGTAGATTAATTCAGAGCACTTTTAAAAAATATAGAGAGTTCTACAGGGTGTCCCCCAAAAAAGTTACATATCAAAGTTATGTTTTTTGTAATGGAACACCCTATATATTAATTGATTTTCGGATTCTAGGAGAAAAATAAAGGTGAGTTTTATTAAAGAAGTATATACCTAAAATCTAAGGATTTTGACATATTTCACATTTTGTGAAAATGAAGAGTAAATTTTAAATTTCGATAACAGCTACTTAAATTTTAGTAACTCTTGTATAGCCTGATATTTAATTACAGTAACCATTGTATGTTAAAGCAAATTGAAATTTGGCCCGAAAAGTTATACAGGGTGAGACAAAATTAATATGGAACATTAGTCACTTTTAAAAGCAAGTTACTCTGTTATTTTAAATGGAACACCCAGTATATTATTCCGGTGTTCAATAGAGAATTTATATATCTTCAAAATATTATTAAGGTTGTCTACCCTTCAAACCAAGATTTTCCTAGATATTTTCATTTATATGATTTGATCTGAGTATATCTTTATTATTTGATAAAATCTAGGGTGGCTGTGATATATATGAAGTTACTTCAACATAGCTGTCTAATTAGTCCAACTGTAACAACTAGTTATCATTTTGTGTCAGTTAAAATAAAAAAAAAATTCTCAGAAATTTGCCCAAAATGCAAACTTATCCTACATCAGAGAGAATTGATATGATTCTATTAGTTGGTGAATGTAGTGTGCTTTCGCCAATTAATAGAATACTTAAATGCTCCTGATTTTATTTAGTCTAGATTTTTTTTATGGGGATATGTTAAAGACAGTGTTTACAAAACTCGACCAACTATTGTCGACAACATGAGAGAAATTATTGTAGCTGCTATTTGAGGTAGAACTCCACATATGCCTTTTAAAATAAAAAGATCCTTTTGAAAAGACAATCATTTTATGCATTTAACAGAAAAGGAAGCATTTTGAGCAGTTGATTTCATCTAGCTAATTTTTGTTAAATAATTATAGGTTTATATCTAGTTTTAATTCTGTAATAATTAAAATATGTTTTAAACGTGTATCTTTTTATTACCGTTGATTATTTTACTCTACATTCTTTAATTTTTGTTAAATTAACAAAAGGTATATCACAGCCACCCCTAGATTTTTCAAATAATAAAGATCTACTGACGCAAAATCATAAAAATTAAAATATCTAGGAAACTCTTTGTCTGTGGGGTAGGCAACCATAATAATATTTTGAAGATATATAAATTCTCCATTTAACACCGGAATAATATACTGGATGTTCCATTTAAAATAAAAGAGTAACTTGCTTTTAAAAGTGACTAATGTTCCATATTCATTTTGTCTCGATCTGTATAACTTTTCGGGTCAAATTACAATTGGGTTTAACATACAATGGTTACTGTAATTAAATATCAGGCTATACAAGGTAAACTAAAATTTAGGTAGCTGTTTTTTAAACGAAATTTTAAATTTACTCTTCATTTTCACAAAATGTGATATATATCAAAATCCTTAGATTTTAGGTATATGCTTCTTTAATAAAACTCACCTTTATTTTTCTCCCAGAATCCGAAAATCAATTAATATATAGAGTGTTCCATTACAAAAAACACAACTTTGATATGTAACTTTTTTTGGGGACATCCTGTAGAATTCTCTATATTTTTAAAAAGTACTTTGAATTAACCTACGCCACCCTGTACACTCATTTTAATTTATTATTGTTATATACCGTATAATCGAAAAAAAACGGCGTCAAAGAGGGAGGGAGACATTTTTGTCAAGGTCAATCTCAAGACGTCATTTACTAAAAATTGACATAAAACTTGTCCTTGACCTCGCTAAAATTATAATCGATTGTCATTCCCCAGCTGTCTTTGACGCTGTTTTTTTTTTTGATCGTATGCTACATATAATACATATTGAAACATTATTGCGTGTTAGATACTAATTTATTTAACAATAAAAGTAAGTACTTTTTAAAACTTTGACTTTGAACCATTTTTAAAATAATAAAATATAATATAGTATCACCATAGTACACCCTATACATTAAAAACATTTATAAACATTTTTTTTGTGGCAAAATAATTATTTACATAGTATATACATTGCATAATGCTTTGTGTATTTTACACTACTAAACTTACCATACATGTATGATTTAAAATATGAAATCTTAAGTATTCTAAATATCATATTCGGATTCATATATTTGTAAGATTTTTTTTGTTTCACTCCGTTAAATGAGTTAAAACAATATAATTATCTTTATTTATATTTTGTCAATTAAAAATACTCTAAATAATTTTCTATAAAAAAAACTACTACTTAAGCCAGATCTACCCTATCAGGCTACAATATATATTTTATCTTTTGTCTTTTTCGGGTTTTACATTTTTATAAATGAAGTTTAATGAGAAATTTATTGACTGTTTTATTAGCATATTAGGTAAAGTCTGTCCAATGAGTCAAGGAAGAATTCGACATATATTTGATGACATACAAGCAATGACAGAACAACTGTCACTGTCAGGTATTCTGTCGTTGGACAGACTATTTTTTTATTTTTAATTAAGTACTTAAACATAATGTAACTTATTAATTATGTATTTTTATTTTCTTCATGAAATGAACAACTAAAACAAAATAGCCTCATAGTGTGAATCCAGCCTTATAATACAGTTAGAGAACATTTTATTAAGGAACTTAAAAGTTTATTTTTAGTTATGCATTGGCATGTCGTTTAAGAATTTCGATATTCTTAAGAGTTTACGATATTCTCCGATGGTGGCAGCATCAAGCCTATAAGGTATTAAAAATAAAATAGATATAACCTTCTGTGGCCATCCTAATATAGTGGTCTGTTCAGTAAGAGATCACTGAAGACCAATTCATTACAAATCACAGAAAATACTTTATGCCAGTGGGTTGTAGTAAAATAGGGCATCAGTGCAATGTTAAACGATACTGATAGGTCTCTGTAGATCAAATTCTGGCTGGTCTCAGCTGGGCGACGACATGCTTGATTGACTGATTTTGATCGAGTTTTGCAAACTTAATGCTTCTGGTGCTAGTCCAGCGGCTGTTAGAGGACTCTTTTCAATGCATACTTTTCAAAACCTAATAAATTCTATCTTATAGCAACTCATTAACCTGCTGCATGTGATTGACTAAGTCAGAACAAACCAAATTCATATCATCCGTGTCTTTTAAACTAGAATTACTTAGAGTATTCGAACTCCTGGTCAATTTAACAGGAGTAGACAGTCCCTGCGTCAGTCCAGTCTTAAACAGTCTCAGCACCTTGCTTTTCAGCGACGCGCAGCTTGAATTCGAGTGTTGCAGAGCAGCAGGCAACATCGCTGACGGGTCTCTGTTGATCAGAGTCTAGGTGGTCTTAGTTCTGGATGAAGGGAAGTTAGTCTGGGTGGTCTAGAAACTAAGTTTGATGAACTTGTGGCTTGATCCAGTAAGATTCCAGCTTTAAAGGACCTTTGTCAATGCATACTTTTCGTAACTTAATCAACTGTAACTTATAGCTACTCATTAACCTGCTGCATGTGATTGACTAAGTCAGAACACACCAAATCCATATCATCTGTGTCTTCTAAACTAGAATTACTTATGGTATTCGAGCTCCTGGTCAATTTAATAGGAGTAGATAGTCTCTGGGTCAGTCCAGTCTTAAACAGTCTCAGAACCTTGCTTTTCAGCGACGCGCAGTTTGAATTCGAGTGTTGTAGACCCGCAGGCAACCTCGCTGACGGGTCTTTGTTGATCAGATTCTAGCTGGTCTTAGCTCTGGATAAAGGGAAGTTAGTCTGGGTGGTCTGGAAACTAAGTTTGATGAAGTTGTAGCTTGATCCGGTAAGACTCCAGCTTTAAAGGACGTTTGTCAATGCATACTTTTCGTAACTTAATCAACTGTATCTTATAGCAACTCATTAACTTGCTGCATGTGATTGACTAAGTCAGAACAAACCAAATCCATATCATCTGTGTCTTTTAAACTAGAATTACTTATAGTATTCGAGCTCCTGGTCAGTTTAACAGGAGTAGACAGTCCTTGCGTCAGTCCAGTCTTAAACAGTCTCAGCACTTTGCTTTTCAGCGACGCGCAGCTTGAATTCGAGTGTTGCATAGCAGCAGGCAGCATCGCTGACGGGTCTCTGTTGATCAGATTCTGGCTGGTCTCTGCCCTGGACGACGAGAAGCTCGTCTGGCTGGTTTGAGGGCTGAGCTTGGCGAACTTGTGGCTCGCGGATCTGGTGCTGTTCCAGCGGCCGTTGTTAGAGGACGTTTTCGCATCGACCGTTGGGGGACGATGCGTTGGCGCCCCTCGCCCTAAAAAATTATCCGGAGCCTTTTTGGTGGTGAGGCGCAGCGGCACGGCGGCGCAGTTGCGGGTGCGGTTCTTGCTCGACGAGCAGAAGTTGTGGAATGTTTTCTGGAACAAAAGAAAAAGAACTTATTTAGTAAATTATTTATAAATTTTATATTCATGTTAAGGTATAATATATAATAAAAAAAAATTAACTTGTAAGAACTTCGTATAATTTTTATGTAAGTTATTTGTTTTGGACACTGCTCTGTTGTCAGGTTGAGTAAAATACAGGGTGGTCCGAATTGTACTCGGAAAACTTTGGCAGCCTATTTTGCAGCTGGTATAAATGTATGTCCTAAAATGCTTAGTTTCGGAGATACATGGTGTAGAATTTTCATTTTTATTTCGATCATTTCCAAATAACTTCAGAACTAACGTCGATATTTGGATGAAAATTGATGGGTGGGACATCATAAATTTGATTTTGATGTCAATATGACTCCTACTTGTAGAGGGCGCCACCTACATATTTTTTAACTGGTTAAAAAAGTAATAACTTTTCGTCCGTACATGTATAAAACTACTGAGTAAAAAAATATACATTTACGACGTTTTTTATGTAACAAAAGTCTCTTGATAACAATCGATACGGGTAATGGTTCTCGAGATATTTGGAATCGTAATTATCAATATTTGTTATCATTGACATAAATTAAACATGTTGGCCAAATAGATAGTATAGTGAAATAATAAATTTGAAATGTTTTTTTTTGTGTCAAAAGTTCAACATAAACTGTTCCAAATAAAACCAATGCATGGTAGAATAGATAATAAATAACATAAAATAATGTCAGAAAAGCACAACAAATCCGCAACATTTCAAATCACATTCAAATGTGTCAATTGAAACGTCAAACAGAACTGTCAAAAGTGGTTGTTATGATGTCGATTTCATCTCTAATTCATGAATAAATGGACAACATAATGCTCCTTCGTGAATCTGACATTTTTACGTTTCTTATTTTTATTAACGACATTGCTAACATAAACATCAGTAGCAAAATATGTCTTTTTGCGGACGACACTAGCTTCACTTGGAGCAACAAGGACGTCACGGTACTTCATAGGATTATATCAAATGACTTAATCACCATTAAATCTTGGTGCGATTGGAACCTCCTGAGTCTCAACATTCCTAAAACTAAAGCTTTGTCGTATAAAAACTCGCTGCAGCCTTTTGTACTTACCAACACCACCATTGACGTCGTAAAATCTGTAAAATTCTTAGGGCTTGTTGTAGACAATACTCTGAAATGGGACATGCATATCAAAGCTTTGTCGAAAAAAATGAGCTCTGCCTGTTTTGCATTAAGATCTGTTTCTAAGGAGCTTAACTTGTCAGTGGCTAGAACTGTTTATTATGCACTTTTTGAGTCCCACCTCAGGTATGCCCTTCCATTCTGGGACACGTGTTACGCTACTCAATTTGACAGCATTTTCAAGCTCCAGAAGAGAGCTGTTCGATATTCAGTGGATAAACAGCAGAACTCATTGCCAGGACTTTTTTAAAAAATTAAAAATATTAACTCTTCCTTCCTTATTTATATTTGAATCCGTTTGCCTAATACATAAGCATGTATCAGCTTCTCAAGAAAGGCCATCTCACACTTATCCACTCCGGAACGCGGAGCGAGATCTTTATCTACCTACCCCACGCTCAGAGTTAGTTAAAAGTTCAATATTATACAACTCGAAAAAAATGCACTGAAAAAAAATCACTTGCCATTTGAAATCCATAACATCATTTTCTTCATTTCGCAAAGCATTGAACTCTTATTTACTAGACAAGGCTTTCTACGCCGTAAATGAATTATATTTTGATAATCGAATTTGATCTTGTAAACACTGGTCTAATGTTTGCTGTTGCTATATTTACCAATGACACTGAAATAACAGCGCTTTCACATGCGACGGACCGTCCGCGACGGAGCGTCCGTGACCTCGAGTAAGTACCATGAGTTTTATGAACAATTTCACATGGGCGCGTATGCTCCGTCCGACGGAGTTTGTTCGACGGTTATATTGAAAAAACACGACGGACGGTCCGTCGCATGTGAAAACGCTGTAAATTTATTTTCAGGTCATTGATATTTACTATAAACTAAATAAATATTTTTGAATATTATTTTTATTTTTTTTTATTCTTTGACATTGTAAACATTTATAAATGTTTATTTTAAACAATAAGACTGAAAATATTATTTGTATAATGTTTTGTAAGATCTTTTGTTTGTTTGTTTGTGTATCTTGTTTGTTTACTTTGTTTGTTTACTTTACCTTTGTCTACAAATTGCAATTTTTTTTGACAATAAAGGCATTTACTTATTTATTTATTAAAATCGAGCATCAAAAATAATCTTTTATAAATTTTCATAATCTAAACTTCATATTTCAATAAGTATATAACTGTAAAAAACTAATAGTAAAATATTTTTAATAACCACTGATCAATAGAAAGTAAATTTATACATATACATGTACATATATATCTGTTTTGTTACTACGGTCCCACGAGTATAAAATTATTATACATATCAAGCAAGGGTTAAATAAAATGAAAAGATATTCAGATCTGTAATTTAATTCCAAATAAAATACTGCATGTAAAACATGAATTTTATTCAATATTTATTGTAACTTTTTTCAATTTCAAAAGCATTTTAAAATCGACGAAAAGCTCCATTTTACGATAAAAAGTATTGCTCTTGAGTTTTTTCCAATTTTTAGGCAACAAAAACTCGCAAATTTAATATGCCCTATTGACCCTAACTGCTCAAACTGGCCAACAAAATGAATAGCGTAAAAACAAATTAAACTCTTAAAAAAGTAGGATTAATTTCAAAAAAATAACATTTATTGATAGGCAATTTTTTTGTGTTTGTAAAATATTTGTTTATAAAATTAATGTAAATATTAACATTCATATTACTTCTTGTAACTGTCTTGTTATCTAATTTAGTTTACGAGCATTATATCCCATAAAACAGCTAACAAGGCCACAATATTCACGGAAATTAATAACCAACTATCAAATTGGTAATAAAATGAGTTTTATGGTCTTTTTTGTAGTTCTTCCTTAGTTTTATGGACTCAAAGTGTTAAAATAGTCATTTAAAATACAAAAAAAATCAGTTTATTCATAATTTCTTGTAACTTTTATATATTAAATATACAGAGTAACACAATGTTCGATACGCTGTATATCTAGTTTTTCATTTGAGATTTTTATTACAATATTTTTTATAATATACGTGGGCAATAGTAGCGCACAAGTGATGTTTCACATGGAGCGGATGGTCCATGTGAAACAGCAAAAAATTGCTTACCAATTAAACTGTACTGTATTCCGTATTTGTAATAACTTTAACACCATACCAATCTTAAAATAAACCCAGCTGAAAATAAAAATCGACAATAAGGTCCATTTTACAAACGAAAATTGTAGTTTTTGATTTTTTACTCCCTATTTTTTAGCGATAAAAACAGCAGATGTATCCTATCTCCCCTAATCGGCAAATATAAACAAATTGCAAATTTATTCTGAATTGCAAAGTCATTGTTTGAAAGACCAAAACCGATTTAAAATACTGAAAAAAGTGGAGAAGTAGGTCAGATGTCCCTATTTTTTATTGTTAGTAGATTTTATATGGTTGAAATCTGAGAACGATCTCATGTTACTAAGGAAAAGCGAACAAATTTGATTCTTTATAGTTATTTGCAGTTTTTTTTTGCTTTTTTATGGTTTTCTCGATATTTTTAAACATGTTTCTATACAATGTCATGCTCGGATTAGATATAAGTATTTTGCATACTATTGTCGTATTTTTTTTTTAATAATTTTTGTCACATTATATCGAAACCCCCAGAAAAACGCCTATGAGGCTTTTTTTGAAAAAAAAAAATTGAAAATTCGAAATTTTTTGGAATTTTTTTAAGAAACATAATTTTTTGATAATATGGCAACATAGGTATTAGATTAAATTTACAAAGAAGAAAATCTAGAAAAGATCCAGTTCTGAAAATTTTAGCAAAAAATCATTTTTTTAGAAATTTTCAAGAGTTATTTTGGACTTATTTGAACAACGATGAAGAGGAAAAATGTTTCTTTTATCTAGATCTACCACGCCTTAAAATACTTGCACTTATTTCTGGGACACCCTGTCTAAAACGCTATAATTTCACAGTCGCTTTGATTCACAATATTTAACATTTTTGTGAAAAACGCCTACAACTGAGATTCAAGTGTGTAATTTAAAAAGATATTTTCAAACTAAATGATAATCCCTTCTCTTGCTGTATTTTCGGAATTATAATGAATAGATATACAAGACAGTTTCACCTGAAATGTGACGGTTATATGAAATATAAGGGGCAACGGCCCAGCTACGTTGAAACATCGGTTACCGATAGATCAGCAAAGTTAAGTGACACACACTTAAGTGACACACACACACTGCTCATGCTCTAAGTATCTCTGGATATCTCGTGAGCAAGAGTTGATTTAGACACTCGCCAAATCGGTAGGACATTGACAATGATATGGCCGAAGACCGAGGTTCGGATTCCGCGTAAACAAAGTAGGCCCCGTCCAGACCAGCAGCAGCAAAAAGGAGACGTTGACTTAAAATACTTTTCCTTTTACTTAGCCGGCTATGATTTTTACTTAAACTAGTTTATATTGTAATAAAATTTGGCATGTTAAACGTATTTGACTTCATAGCACATAAAAGTACCCATAAAATATGGCTGAAAAATTAGAATTGAAAATGAAACTAATAAACTCAGCATTATAAACTAGACACCAATAAGCTGATATTTCAAGTTATGCCAAATTGAAAACGGGTGAATTTTATGGGAGTCGTAAATCTTTGGCAAAATTGATATTTTAGTTTTAAGTTCTTTAAAAATATTAAAATATCTTAATAGAATGATATATCAAGAAGACCAATTTTAAACACAATACCACATATCATACAGATTATAATCTTTGTTTTTTCTTTAATGTTTTTCGTGGTTCCAATTTTCGGAATCGGGTACTAGTTAGGTTACTAGTTTGCGCACAT